ATGTTAGGATTTGAACCAAGCTCCGCATTCCGAGAATGTCAATCACACAAGGGCTGTTTTTTAAAGTAAAAAGATAAAATTACCTAAACAATCACCAATGAGACGAATGATTAAATCACAATACATCCATATATAGTAAAATACAAATTGGCCATTTAAAATTATGTTGAGGTCGAGCACAGTGGCTCACACCTGTAATCCCAGCACTTCGGGAGACCAAGACGGATGGGTCACCTAAGGTCAGGAGTTCGAGACCAGCTTGGCCAACATGGTGAAACCCCATCTCTACTAAAAATACAAAAATTAGCCTGGAGTGGTGGCATGTGCTTGTAATTCCAGCTACTCAGGAGGCTGAGACAGAAGAATCGCTCGAGGCCGGGAAGCGGAGGTTGCAGTGAGCGGAGTTCGCACCACTGCACTCCAGCCTAAGCGACAGAGCGAGACTCCATTTCAAGAATAAATAAACAGGCCGGGTGCAGTGTCTCAAGCCTGTAATTGTTGGCACTTTGGGAGGCAGAGGCGTGTGGATTGCTGCAGGTCAGGAGATCCAGACCAGCCTGGCCAACATAATGAAACCCTCCTCTACTAAAAATACAGAAATTAGCCAGGCTTGGTGGCGGGCACCTGTAATCCCAGCTATTAGGGAGGCTGAGGCAGGAGAATTGCTTGAACCCAGGAGACGGAGGTTGCAGTGAGCCGAGATCATGCCACTGCACTCCAGCCTGGGCGGCAGAGGGAGACTCTGTCTCAAAAATATATATATTAATTAATTAATTAAAATAAAATTATCTTGAAGTGTATTTGTTGACATGTTTACACATTCACAATGCATTGTGAAAAAAGGGGATTGCAAAACATTATGTTCAGAATGTCCCACTTTTGGAAATAAATAAATGCCAAAATGCTAAGAGGGTTTATCACTAGTTGGATGGGTATTGTGACCATGCTTTATTTTCTTTTTGCTTAACTGTATCTTCTGATTTTATTGAAAGATAGTACTTCTCGGGCCTGGAAACGTGGCTCACACCTGTAATCCCAGCACTTTGGAAGGCTGAGGCAGGCGGATCACCTGAGGTCAGGAGTTCGAGGCCAGCCTGATCAACATGGAGAAACCTCATCTCTACCAAAAATACAAAAATTAGCTGGGCGTGGTGGTGCATGCCTGTAATCCCAGCTACTCGGGAGGCTGAGGCAGGAGAATCGGGAGGCGGAGGTTGCAGTGAGCCAAGATTACGCCATTGCACTCTAGCCTGGGGGCGACAGAGCAAAACTCTGTCTCAGAAAAAAAAAAAAAAAAGATAGTACTTCTCAAATTTTAAGTGTGCATAGAATCACATGGGGATCTTGGTCTGAGGTGAGGCTCGAGGTTCTCCATTTCTAAACAAATTTAGATCTCTGTTTTGTGGTAGGTAGAATAAAAGATGTCCACGTCCTAATCCCCAAAACCTGTGAATATGTTACTTTACAGAGCAAAAGGGATTTTGCCAATGTGATTAAATCATCCAGGATAATTTTACTATGGGAAGATTATCCTGGATTATCCTCTAGGTCCAATGTAATCAGATGGGTCTTTATAAGAGGGAGGCTGGAGTGTCCAAGACAAAGAAAATACGCCGGTATAATAGATGTCAGAGGGATGCCAGGGCCAGGGCCAGGAGCCAAGGAATGCAGAAAGCCTATAGAAGCTGGAAAAGTTTTGGAAACTGATTCTCTTCTACAGCCACCAGAAGAAACTCAGACATGCAAACAATTTTAGACTTCTAACCTCCAGAACCCTAAATTTAATAAATGTATCTTGTTGTAAGGCACTAATTAGGTTTGTGGTACTTCGCTGAAGCAGCAATAGAATACATGCTCAAAAGTTATAGGCTCTCTAATTTGCTACCCTTCATTTATTATTTTAACTTGCATAAAATTGAGTCTTGGATAACTCTACATTATAATACAGCTCATTGGATGTTTATAAATTAACAGAATTCCTAGATTCATTTTTGTTTATAGTAAACTTGAAACAATATATCTTTCCATAAGGACTGATTATATAAATTATGGTATGTTTATACAATGGAATATGGTAGCTGGTAAAAATGTTGATGTAGCTTTATATTTATTAACATTAAGGTTTATATTCATTAATGTTTATTAATATTCATTAATGTTTATGTTCATTAACATTAATTCATTAACATTAACACCTGAGGTCAGGAGTTCAAGATGAGTGGGTGGATCACCTGAGGTCAGGAGTTCGAGACCAGCCTAGCCAATATGGGGAAACCCTGCCTCTACTAAAAATACAAAAATTAGCCGGGCATGGTGGCAGTGCCTGTAATCCCAGCTACTAGGGGGGCTGAGGCAGGAGGATTGTTTGAACCTGGGAGGCAGAGGTTGCAGTGAGCAGAGATCGTGCCACTGCACTCCAGCCTGGGCAACAGAGCAAGATTCTATCTCAAAAAATAAAAAAGAAAATAATTTGTTAATTTATATTCAAAGACTAAAATGTTCACGCAGTTTGAGTAAATAATTCCATGCTTGGAAATCTATACTAGAGAACCACTTCAAAGTACTGAAAGTATTTTTCAGGTATAAACTAAAACGTGTATGGCTCTATTTTTATAAGAACAATGGTATAGGAATGATTTAGTAAACGCTTATGCATTCACAAGGTGAAAGTTTCTGGAGCAGTTTTCAATATTAATTATTAAGAGTGTGTAATAACTTGGAAAAGGGCCTTTTTTCTTTTTTTTGCTTTTAGAGACAGGGTCTCTGGCTATGTTGCTCTGCTCTGGCTCGTCTCAAATTCCTGGGCTCAAGTGTTCCTCCCATCTCAGTCTCCTTAATGAAGCTGGGATTATGAGCATGCACCACTTCATAGAATAAAATATTTTTATTTATACTATTGTTTAAAATAAAAAGTACCTAAATATAAATATACAATATGAAAACAGACTCTAGCCAGGTGTGGTGACTCACACCTCTGATCTCAACAGTTTCATAGGCTGAGGTGGGAGGATCACTTAAGCTCAAGAGTTCAAGATCAGCCTAGGCAAACGCCATCTCCACAAAAAATACTAAGATTAGCCGGGCATGGTAGCGCAAACCTGTGGTCTCAGCTACTCTGGAGGCTGAGGTGGGAGGATTGCTTGAGTCCTCGACAGGGAGGTTGCAGTCAGCCATGATTGTGCCACTGCACTCCGGCCTGGGAGACAGAGCAGGACCCTGTCTCAAAAATAAACAAATAGTAAAAATAAAA